AAATGTAAAATCAAGTCTTATATTAATATTTTTTAAAAATTGTCAGGATGGTTTTGTTTTATAAAATTGTTACACAAAAAATATAAATTAATCCAAATATAAGAAAAAAAATGTAAATAAAATTTCAACATGAGTATACAACCATAAGTAATTGTGAAATAATAATAATAATAATAATAATAATAATAATAATAATAATAATAATAATAATAATAATAAAGAAACTTTATAATAAAGGTGGTATAAAAAGTCATAACTTAGATGTATTTATAGTTATGTTTTCCAATATAAAAAAATCAATTAAAAAAGACAAAGACATTATTTCACAATTTCAGGTGAAATTGTGAAATAACATTTTTATGTTATGATATAAAATGTGTAAAAAAAATGTATGAAAAATGAAAATCCCAAAAATCCAAGTTATTTTTGAGACCAGAAAAAAACATAAAAATATTTTTAAAATAAAAACAATACCTAATAAATGTATAAAGATGATTTTTTAAAAATTGTTATTCTATATTAAATATTTTTAATGAGGTTTTCAAACATGTATTTTTGTTTTTGCCTTACCTTAATGAGCATAAAGGGACTCTTTAGCACTGATGCATGGATCCAAACACAGCTGAAGGAAAGCAATACATTCTGCCCTCAGGAGGTTTTAATGATAAACGCTGCATGCATGCATCTCTCTATAAATAAAAGTGAAAGTTTAATGATGTGTGCAGCTGGACTGTCCAGTTAATGAGCCGTGGTCACTAAGGGTCAGATTATTAAGCGTTGTCAGCAAGCTAAACTCCCTCTGTGACAGCACTGATGGCACCAAAACGCAGCAGAAAATCTTTTAACATCTCTGGATTGTAACAACAGTGAAATTGCTGCAATTTCATAGTGCATTAGTTTGGTTTACAGGAAATACATTTACCATAGAAGCATCTAAGCAAACCTGAACACTGGACTGGTACATTCTGACAATACAACAAAGACAACTACACTCATTTCAATCTTCTTTATGTCGTTCCTAAGCTAAAGGTGCTGTATCTTTTTCCATTTGCACTCAGATGCTTTGATCAATTCTGCAGTAGCTTTACTTTACGTCTGACAGAGATGTGATTTATTTATTTATCTCTGTCAGGGGAACACGATGAATACCCACCAAGGCTGGCTGTGAAGAAACTGGAGATAAATACGAGAGTCTGATATCTGCTGGAGTCAGGAGTCACCTTGGAGACTTTAAAGGAAATACAACTAGACAAAAAAGGATGATGTTTTTATTTATTTCACAGGTGAAATGTTGTATGTTTGGTTCAGTCAGTCATGAATTATTAAGGTTTTATGCATGCAGTTTGCAGGCTCTCTTCATTCGTTTATTTGTTTACTTTTCTCATATCTAAAATATCCAAAAGGAATTGCAGCATGGGAATCTGAAATACCAATATAATACCGTTATTTTCCTTGGTGCTGATTGGCTGTTTCCGTAAGACTGAACATAACGAGTTAAAGCTGCTGTGGTGCTGCTGAAACAGTTTCTACTGTGCATATCAATCCATATTAAGGTATATTTGGTACTTCAATACATAAATTAGGCAGTTCTACATGGTTTTAGATGGTATTTCATAGAGTTGTTTGCTGTAAATGAGATCTGGGACCTGCAGGAGCTAAAAGAATAACTAAATCCAAAAATTATCCCCCCAATAAACTGTCTAAATTGATCCTTAAGGGTTTTATATTTATGTTCCTGTGCAAATTGTGACATTTTCATCTAAATTTCTTTAAATCTGCAATACTTGACCCAAAATTATTGTCTCAGTGTTTCCCTCTATGGGTTCAACGGTGGGACTGCAGTCAAATTTTTCTATTGGTTACATTGGATTGTGTTTCTCCACTTTGCACGTGTGATTTAATTGCAATAATGACTGCAGTGTTTAAGAAGTGGAAATGGGAGACAGCAACACTCACTTCTCGCTTCTATAGAGGCAATTTCTGCTTAACTTGTTGCCAAAGTCTCCAAAAACAGATAAAAACGTGCTACCGTTGTTGCTAGATGTTTTTCTTTCTTTTTTCTAAAGAAATAAAGTTATAAATGAGAAAATGTTGTCATTATAACAAGATGCAAAAGTTATTTCCATACTCTGGCAGCTAAAGGTTTTTGTATAAATCTTTTGAAAAAAGCTTTTATGATACAAAGAGTGAGCTGTTTGATGACAGTATTTTTATTATGCTGTAATTTGAGTCATTGTATTGCTTACTTGAGTAAAATTTGGTGAACATAATCAGCTGGGTATATGAAGTACTTGAAGCAGCCGTTGCTGACCCCAGAGTTCATCTCTGATTGGAAACCCAGACTTGTTTTGACGGATCTATTCATGCAGGTTGAATAGGAACTGTGTGAAGAGAGAAAAAGGGGAGCCTACTATTCATCTTTTTTTATCAAGGAGCCTCCATATCAGCGTGCCTCACTTTACATCAGAATAACTGGACACCAGCTTGTCAACCAGGTTGGTTATGGGAAAGAACACCAGGAATTTGCTTGGGTGGAAATATAAAAGAAATCCGTTTAAAAACCAAACTGTTCTCAAAGCAAAGCTAAACATTGTGTTTGATATATATGAATGAATTGAAAATGTAAAAAACACAAAACTCATCTACTTTTCAGTTAATAATTTATCAGTTTTCTAAAAGTGATGATTAGAGAGTGATGGAATGAAATGCTAGGATTTTTTTCCCCCAACTAACACAGAACTGTAAAAACCTGAACCCTGAATTATTTATCTAATCTTTGCAACATTTTCCATTTAGCATTTCTCTGCTGCCCTGTCAAGCTCTTCTGCTTATGCTGCACAACCTGTTCGTCTCAAATTAGCTATTCATTGCTTCAGGATTGGAGGGCTGCATGTGTTTGGTCCTTATGCAGCATTTTCTGGGATTTACAGTTAAACCCTGATTGCGTATTTGCATTTCAGGAGAGCGTACTTAATTCAGAGAAAGCTTTAAACGTCTGAACAAATTGCTTCAAATTGTAGTTTATTTTATATTTCAGGGAGATTTCTTTAATCTCTAAATGAGGCTGGAGATGGAGACAAGCCGTTTGATAAGAGCAGCAATATTTAAACATGTAAACCTCTGGATATTATTGCAATTTCATAGATTGATTGCATTGAATAAACCACATCTTGCCTCCAAAGCTGCTTTTATGAAAAAGAAACGAAGCTCAGTTGGAGGAACCTTGTTATGTTTCTGTTTCCACAGCTTCCATTGCAGACAGGTCAGATTTAATTTTTGTTTACTTCTCATTTTAATATTTTTTGAAGTTGTGTATTATCCTTTTACAGTCAGAGTGTGGTCAGTTTGGGAAATCTTCTCATTGCCTTGGATGAGTCAGGCTAACGGCTAACTAGAGTCAAACTAATGGCTAACTAGTGCAGCTAATGGCTTAGAAAAGTAAAGCTAATGGCTAACTAGAGTCAACCTAATGGCTGATGAGAGTCAAACTAACGACTAACTAGTGCAGCTAATGGCTAAGAAAAGTAAAGCTATTGGATAGCAAGAGTCAAGTTAATGGCTTGACTCTTGCCAAGCCATTAACTTGACTCTAGGGTCAAGCTAATAGATAACTAGATTATAACTAACGGATAACTACAGTCAAGCTAATGGCTAGTGAGAGTCAAGCTAACGGTTAACGCGAGTTAAGCTAATGGATAACGAGAGTCAAACTATCAGCTAACTAGAGTCAAGCTAACAGCTAATGAGAGTTAAGTTAATGGATAATGAGAGTCAAGCTATTGGCTAACTAGAGTCAAGCTATCGTCTAACTAGGGTCAAGTTAATGGATAACGAGAGTCAAGTTAACGGTTAACTGGAGTCAAGCTAACACTAACAGGAGTCAAGATAACGGATAATGAGAGTCAAACTACGGTCTAGCTAACACCTAAGGAGAGTCAAACTAATGGCTAAGTGAGTCAAGCTAATGGATAGGGAGAGTCAAGCTAATGGCTAACTGGAGTTTTTATATGTTTAGATGTTATTTTGACTTTAATTTGCTGCTAGCTTAGCTCTGCTTAGAGTCGAAATTAAAATACTTTATTCATGTTTACCTGTTAGCTTGAGTTTGATTAACTATTAGCTTAAGTCTAAAGCCTGAATTTCTCTGATTTTTCTAAACTGAAATAAATATTTGTCCTGTCTACTTTAGGTAAAATACAGACTACTCATAAATACACAACACAACATACCTTACGAATAATAAGAATAAATATATCTTAAATTTAACCACACACATCCTATTTTTTTTCTTGAATGAAAAAATATGATTAATATTGAAATCAATTGCAGATTGTGTTATTACAGTTCTTATTTATTGACATTAAAATAAAAACACCATCACTCAGTCATTTTTAACACTATTAATCTAAAGTTACCCTGATCCTTTCATCTGTCTGAGACCTTCTCCCTATTAATCACAATGATCAGCTTTGATTGATGAGGCTGCTGAGAAAGTCAGACATCTAGAGCGGCCACTTTCAGTAAAGCAATCATCTGTAAATTTATTGAGAGGAGCATGGTAAACCAGTGTTTGAGTCTTATAAAGTTTAAAACAAAACTGACAGATTTGTTAAGAAACATGCAGATATTTAAACTGATGACCAGATTACATCAGTTTACTTTTGAACTCTGACGTCCAGCTTGGTCCTAATCCCTAAAGATGGCAGCTGAGGTGCTGCAGCATCCATGTTCCAGCCGTCTTAAGAGTTTGAAGATTTGCTCTCTGACCTGTCGGCAGCTTAGTTCCACCATATGTTGTTGTTGTTTTGGATCACAGAAGAACAATCAGATTCTTGTAGCTTTCTGCAAATGTTGTGGGTGAAAATGCAGATTAAAGGCAGATTAATTGCAAAAATAGGAATTAAATCAAAATAAACGCAACAAAAACTGAAACAGTATCTCTCAATAAACATCAAAATAAGTCAAAGTAAAGATAATGCATTTAGATGAGACAAAAATACAGCTCACCTTGTGAAATATGACCAAATAGCAGCATCCACAGAGGTGGAAAAGTTGTATTTGGAGTTGCAAAGCCGATATTTAAGGACAATAAGATTCTTCGTAGAGTCTCTTTGAAAAAAAAAAAAAAGGTTTTCCTTCCCTTGATAAACACAAAGAAATCAGCTACTTAAGTTCAAACTCACATCTAGGAAAGACAAGTTTGCAAACGAGTTGACTGCCTACAATGGAAAATTAAGGTCAGACTAAGAGACTTCTTTGTGAAATTAAAATTACAGATTATCGGTGGAAAAATTTTGAATTGAATTATTTATTTATTTTATAATGTTTGTTGTTGGGTAAATTGTTTCGGTGTGTGAGCAGGAAGCAGATATTTAGGCCAGCAGGTTTGTGTGTGTGTGTGTGTGTGTGTGTGTATGTGTCGGGTGTGTGTGTGTTGAGGTCAGCAGCCTTTAATCCGATCGTGGGGGTGGTGAGAGTGCAAGCAGGGGAGGATTACGGGATTAGGCAGAGATGCGACATGAGATGGCCAATCTGCAGCCACGGCCCATCGCGCACTGGCTCGTCTGAGGTTGCCATGGTGACGGAGAAACGCAGACACAAAACAGAGCTGGTTGTTTCTACTAAAGCAGGAAGCTGAAACTCATTTAGCCGAGATAAAATGTAATTTAATGTGATCTGGTGAAACAAATGTATTTATTTTTTTATGCATAATGAACAAAGGAGTGAGTGGAAACAAATAACTGAAGTTATTTTCATCATTTTACACTTGAACAAACTATAAGAACATTAAATTTAAAACATTTCAATAGAAAAAAAAAATCAATATAGTCAATTTAAATAAGCTTAAGTGGTTTACAGTAAATTATCACTTAAAGCTGCAAAAATGTCAAAACTCTGGCATAAATTTGACCTGTTTGGATTGTGCTGATGTGTAGGTTCACTGAGTTAAAAGACGAAGAAAGGATTTCATGTCTCCTCTACCCCAGCCAGCCTTCACAAATCATCTGAGTGGGTGTTTTGATTGCAGCCGTAACTGTTTATGTTCTGCACAGCCCTGAATGTCTACAGGGAGAAAAACGACTGGGCAGCATGAATCCTCCAGCAGCAGGAACTCCACAGAATAGTAATCAGACTCTAGAAAATCATTTAAAAAATCAGGCTTCTTGGCTGTAAGGGCTTGAGGAAGGATGGTAGTAACTTTGAACACATTCTAATATCTGCTAGTGCCCCCTTGTGGTCAAAAACTAAATCACACAAAATGACAACATAAGGGTAAAATCCAAATAACCAACAATCAAAATGTTGCAGAAACTTAACAAATGTTATCAAAAGTGGTAAAAAAAACATATGAAAAAGTCCACAAAAGTAGGAAGCAAAGATACAATAGAAAAATTTTATTAATTATTTAGGAAAGTCCAGTAGTGACAACCAAGTTTAGGCCACCAAACGATGAAGGAAAACGTTGAAATAACTTAAATTAGCCACAAAATTTTTCAAAAATATTTCCCTAAATATTAAAAACAAAGAATACAGGAGCATAAAACAATGAATGAGCAAGAAATGTAGTTAAAATGCATCCAAAACGATCTGCAAAAGCTACGAACCAACCATAAATAAGATGTGGATATCAAACATTGCCATCTAGCGGTCAGAATCAGAACAACACTTTTATTCCAGGAAGTAAAAATGTATTAAAAGAACATACTTTGTTTATTTTCTAATACAGAATTTAACTGTTTTAACAGAACCTCGAGGTTTGTAAAAATTTCAATGCCTTTTTACAAACTTTTTGTTTTACAGTGATCCATCCTGGAAGGAAAATTACGCAGTAAAAGGGCCAACATGGGAAATAAATGTTTACAAAATATTAATTTACTTCTCACTGAGTATTTCCAGTCATGCAATTTCAAATTACAGATTATTTACAGATGTGCCGGTTAAATATTTATTCTACAAATAATTAAAACTACTATATATGGCTCTGTTTTAACAGAATTTAATCAGTTTTACATAAACAAATCATAAAAAGTCAGTATCCAATCTGTTTGATGATTTGATCATATTTAGTTGCAAAAGAAAAAAACCTCGTAAAACTAACTCAGAGCGTAAATAGTTCTCTATAAAATGATATAAAAAAATTAAAGTATATTTAAGAATTTTACTATAAAGTATTGGTCAACACGCTGCTGCCCCCTACTGGTAGAAACATATAACGCCTTTTCTATCTTTCGTAGAAGTTTTATTCTTTCTGTCAGACTCAAATAGCCTGCCTCATGTCCTCCAAAGATGTTGGTGAAAAGGCTGAAAGGTAAAAATGTTCTAATCTTAGAATAAAAAGCAAAACAACCCAAAACAGCAGCAGGCTTTGTCTGCCGGCCCACTGGTGACTCCGCGGCCCAGTGGAGTTTTTTCCAGCCTGGCAGGAGATGCCAGCTGGCTGCTGTGGAGACGGTTGAGCTCATGGAGCCCGGCTGGCTCCCAGGAGGCCCCGGCTGTTTCCCAGGAGAGAAAATCCTGAAAGAGACACGAAACACAGAGGAACAAAGAGGACCTGGAGCTGAAGGGTGTCAGGAGAAACTGGACTGAGCTGCCAGATAAAAAACAAACGTTAACAACCATCACCAGTTAATCCTGAGAGGAAAATTAAGCAATAGAAGCACCAATATGGGAAAAACCAGGAGATACAATTATAAAATAATGTAAAAATTGGTTTAAAAGCAGCCGCTTATCTGAAATGAGTGAATATTTCCAGTAATATATTTTTTTAAAAATCAATTCAATGATACTTTACTGATCAACTGAATGTTGTTGTAGCTCATTAATTCAAGATTCTTCAAAGATTTATTAGATGCTGACGGCTGTGGATAGGAAAAATCTCCTGTAGCAGTCTGTGTTACAGCAAATTTGAAGAACCCTCTGACTGAAGACAGTCTCATGAAGAGGATGGACAGGATTATCCATCATTTTCTTGATTTTATGCAAAAAAGAGAAGAATTTACCTGTTTAAAATATAGCTAATTTCAGAAATGTGAAAAAATTAACATAAAGTTGGAAAGAATCAATATGACCTTGATTTAATATCAGATTTTTACAATCAGTTACTCAGTACTTGTGTTGCCTTTTTACTAAATATATTTTTGGTAATTCTTAACACTTACTTTTTAATTTTACTTGAGTGAAAATATATTGAAAAAATGTCACTCTGGAATATAATTTTTGGCATAAAAATTCAATATATTTTTATTCAAGTAAAATTAAAAAGTAGCAGTTAGAAATGACCAAAAATAGCCAAATTGCTGCAATTTAACTACTAACTGTTTCACTGTGGAAAAATAAGTATATTTAATTTTCCTCTTCTGATACATCATTGATAATTTGTTGCCCTCTAATAACTCTGATTAGTTGATTATTTGTTTTTAAAAAAAATTGCTTAAAAGTAACAGATTCAGATTAGAAACGTCTTTTAATAGCAAAAATATTTTTAATAAAAAAAATTACAAATTTTGATTTAATATTGTGTCATAAAAACAGTAATTTTGTTTTAGGACAACTTACACAGTTAGAATTAAAAAAAAAAACTATGCTATTATTCCAACATTCTATTTAAAAGAAAAATCAAACGTTTAAGTGAGTTAAAGTAACAGATTCACTCTGATTGTGTCTCTTTCTCTCAGCCAGACTAAACAGCAGCTAAAGTGAGACGCTGTAAACCAGTGGGCCTGAACGTGTGGCGCTGGTTTCCAGTAAGTTGGTCCAGTTTCCTGCACAGAGTCGGATTGTTTGAGGCGAACAATGAAGCGGCCGGCAGTCGTCTGCGTTCATCACCAAACAAAGACGTGTTTTGTTTGGAGAAGACAGCCTGATACCTGCTCTGTCACGATGCCCACACATCACCAGAAAGTCGGTTTAACAGCTTCAAAATCCAGATTTACTGGGGAATATTTTCCCAGTTTTTGGTGGAAAACTTGTGGCTGTTGGGTTGTGTTTGTTTGCGCTCTGTGGGCGGTGGAGGGTACACGTCTGGCCAAGAGGAGCTGTGAAAAGAGCAACTTCATTAACATGCACAGCCAGCCACTTCCTGTGAAACCAGCCTTTGTGGCTCAAACACGACCAGGAGAACTGGACCAACCTGAGAGATGAGTCAAACAGACAGCAGAACTTTAAAAAATATGTTTTTGTTTTCATCAGAGTGAGTAAACAGTAATTAAAAGATAGCTAATTTGAACCGATTTCCTGAATCTTGGGAGATCGTTGATCGGCTAACTTCACAAAAGTTCAAAAGTCAACCTGTGTTCTTTTCTGTTAGCAGAGAACCCAAAAAAATCATCACTACTTCAACATATTTATACTCAGCTAAAAGTAAAATTACCAAGTAAGAGTGAAAAAACTATTTGGTAAAAAGTCTAATCAAGCACTGAATCAGACGGACCAAAATATAAAGTTTGGTATTTTATGGACAAAAATGGCAGTAATTCATATAAGTAACAAAAAATAACAAAATCAGGCCAAAAAATGTTTTCCAAATCAATTTATCTCAATAAAAAACTAGTAAAACTTTAACAGAAACTGCAGGTGTGTATGTGTGTGTTTGGTGAAAATCCTGAAATTTTACTCAAGTAAAAGCAGAAATACTTCATAATAAAATTACTCAAGTAAAAGAAAAAAGTACAGCATAGTAAAAATACTCATAAAAGTACATTTTTCCCAAAAAGTTACAAGTAAATGTAACTAGTTAGTACCCAGAGAGGTATGACTGTTAGCTCCGCCCACCAGGTCATGTCTGCATGTTGACAGGTAACAATAGTTGCCCCTCTGTTACCAACCAAACAATGTTTTTTTGCTGTATGTTTGACATTTCAGATAAAAAAGAAATATCATTGGACACAATCTGAAGTGGCTGGTCAGGTTTTTTAAAGATCGGTAATCGATGATCGGCCAGAAAACTGCGATCGGTGCGTCTCTGCTACTGAGGTCTAAACACAAACGCCTCTGACAGAAAGCTGAGTCTGTTTCTGCAGAGGCAGTGGAGTGAGGGGAGGCGTTGGGCTGTGATTGGTCAGCGGTTTGACTGACAGCATGGCTGACCTCAGGTCTGTATAAAGCCTGCAGAGCAGCGGCAGCCTCCACTGTCTGGAAACGCAGCGTCAGTTTGCATCTGAACTACGGTAAGCACAACAAACCCATAGACTGCAAAAGACTGGAATCTTATGCAGAATCTTGTAAAGCAGTAAAATGATGCTATGTTGTTTAAAATATATTCAAGCTTCAAGGTCTTAAAGACAGTTTAAGTTTATGTTGTGTTTATTCTAAAAGACAAAGTTGTTTTTTACTTTAGTTTAAATATGAGAGTTTTTCTGTCTCTGCTTCTGTTTCTACTCTTTTTTTTATTTATCTTTGGTGAAGACAGCCACTGCATCTGTAATGAGTTCAAAACAATTATTTTCAAAGTATTTATTATTTTTACTTTGTATCAAATATAGTGATATATTGTATCAAGTTATCACATATCATGATATTTGTTACATTGCATCATGAAATTATCTTATTGTAAACCAACATGTCGTATTGTATACTTTTGGTTTTTATTGTATCACAAGTCAAATATCATATTGTGTCAAATTAACATAAACATTGTGTGGTATTGCACTTCATTATATTATATTGTAATGTTCTATTATATTCTATTGTATTATATTGTAC